GTCCTGCTGAGACCGGCCCTGATATGGCTGGGGCACAGGCTGAGGCCTCGTGCCTACCCCGGGTGGCTACGATGGGCATTCCATTGACCTCAGAGTAGCCCAGGAGACTTTCAAGCCATGTGGCTTCAAGTCCACTTATTCTAAAAACAGATTGGCACCTTCAAATGGGAACTCCTGTACAGTGTGTTGTACCTGAGGCCTGCAGCCAAGAATGCCATTATATCACGGAGCCTGAAGAGAGTCTGCTGAGTCCAACATGGCCTGCAGCAATGTATTAGCCACAATCTTGCCTTCATCCACCTGAGCTCACAATTCAGACTTTGTGACCACTGGGATATAGTCTGAAAATTTGGACACTGTGTCCCATGTTTTAAAATTGTAGAGGTTAAGAATCATGTGCTGATTTGTTATGCGAAGCTGCAGCCCTCTGGTTCAGTATATCTTCATCCTAAAGAAATCCAGCTTCTTTGTGTCCTTACTTCATGTAGGCCCCTGCTATCCCTGACTCTCTCTCATTAGCCAGTGCTACCACAAAAAGAGTCCAGCAGGCGAGAGTGAATAGGTATTCATAACCCTTGGTAGGCATTAAATATTTTCTTTCAACACCCTGCACGGTAGGGGCCAGAAAGACAGGAGATTGCCACAAAGTTTTGGTATTGTCCTCAATAGCCTTAAATCAGAAGAAATGCTAACGGGGGTCCACCAGGAATAAAATGTCCACCATCACGTCCAATGACTTGGTAACCTCCTCCATTTAGATCTCTAGATTCTGAGCCACCCACCTCTAGAGTCCCAGGTGGGCTCTGCTGTTTGGGAAAGAGAGAACACTGAGAAGGTTCCTGCCTCATGATGTGAATATGACAAGGCTCATACCAGAGAAGATTCCTCTTGCCCATCCAGCTCATCAAAGCAGCCCCAGTTGTTGTCTGCCATTGCCCGCAACTCAAGTGTCAGCCCCAGTTCTGGATATGGCACCAGCAGAGGTATCTGAAGATAATGGCCAGAAGGGGTCCCTATCCCTAGATGCAGCACTTTCCTCAAATGCAACTGAGAAGCAGTGCCATGAGAGACCTCTGAGGCTGACTATGCCTACAGGGTCCAACAAGCCCACTGTATTGTCATTTCTACTGGCATCTGCCATTGCACTAGCCACAGCACTGGAGGGAAAGGCTGTGCCCCACTCAGAGTGAAACCAACCCTGGTGATGGCTCTTTCAGGACACGTAGGGGTTGGCTTCAGAATTGGGTTCCTTGCAGTTCAAACATGGTGACCAACACAGCACTGTGCCCATAGGTGCCAGGGAGATGGGTGAGTGGTGCCATGTCACTGGTTTCCACTAGACTGCACCAGTGGTGGAGGCTTCAGGGATGGTGACCTCTCATGTTAGTCAGGAGATTGCAGACTCTTCAGGGCTAAGAGATCCCTGGCAGCCTCAAAGATGTCCAGCATGGAAGGAAGGTCTAAGTCCTCCACTAGGCCCTCAACCAGTGGTACCGGACTCAATAGGCTATGCAGCAGACCCCAAATTAATAGTGCAAGGTGTGTGCAGATGGGGAGGAGTGGCCCAGCAGATGTCACACTTCTTCAGGTGGCTCTCAATCTGTTGCTCCAGAGGGGAGAGCTCTTACCCATCTTGCTGTGCTTCTCTCGTGGCACAGGTGACAGAGTGGTGCTGCAATTTTATCCACAAAGCAGTCTTCAGTGCTGGGGAATGCCTACTCCAAGGGTGTTTGACACCAGAGACCTTCCTCAGTGCTACAGCTCAGGCGGAAGCCAGCATACTGCGTACCTGTGCCAATAGAGCCCAGTACCATGTCCCTGAGGCTCGATTCCAACTGTGGCTGCAGAGCTGCATCCACAAGCAACAGCTTCAAGCTGTGGTCACATTCATTCTTGGTGCAGGAGCAGAAATCCAATTTTGCACCTGTTCATTTGATGGAATCCCTCCTCCACATACTTCAGATAAGCCATATGCGGGTAACTCTTTGGCATCAGCTTCCAGCAGACCCTAGGCAGTATAAAACCACTGGCATGCCCCAGCTCTGGAAAAGGAAATAGGGGAAGATGACAAGGGTTCAAACTAATACTAAAAGCTATTATAAAACTATTATTTAAAGAAATGTATGTACAACAAGAAAGCTAAAGGATGAGAGAAGAAGTGCTCCAACAATTAGAGAGGCAAGTTGGCAAGACGTTGTATGTAGAGCCCTGCACCGATACAAAATATGTATCTGCATCCTTATCCACAAAAGCGAGCCACTGGTGCAGATACTCATGGATATAAAACTAATATCCAGAAATTTGCAGGATTCTAGATACAAATATGCATCCACAGATATAAATCGGATATCTACGGATTTGTAGGGCTCTACTTGTATGTGGCGCCATGAAGGCATAACTTCAGAGGGCTCCAGAGCCACCCCAATGGTAGTTAGGATGAAAAAAAACAAACAAAAATCTTCCAGCAACTGTGGACACACTTAATTGAAATAACTGTGAGCAGGCACTTGAACAGTACATTACATTCCATATCTATTTATATACACTTTCACTATTTCAAGACATCTTGTGAAAAACCTTGGGGCTGCTGCTAACCTGAATGATTAGGACTTCATCTGAAATACAAAGCTTTTATTGAAAAATCTTAAGTATTTCTGTCCCTTGAGTAAATTAAAATATGCATCCTGGAGGTTGAAAGCTGCAACTAATGCCTAAGGACCAAGGTGTCTCCATTATTAGCCAGATCAACAAATATAGCACTTGAGATCTTTCAAATCTACAGCAGGGCACTATCCTCCTTTTTTCTTGGGAATTAAAGAGTAAAAAGAATAAAAATGTTAATCCTATATTTAAAGCCACTTCAGTTAGTTCCAGATTAAAACATACTGCACGTCCTCTTGTAATGGTCGCTTATGAGAGAGGTTCTTGAAAATGGACTGAGAAGGTGGGGGAGGAATAGGGGAAACCTGAAAATGGATCAAATATCCAACCTGGATGGCTTCCAGAACTCAGTAGTCCACAATAATATTGGTTCAAAGTCTCAAAAATAAATAAATGGTTCTTTTAATGTTGCAAAGAGTAAGTTAAGATCCTTTGACTAAGGTATTAAGCAGTCAAATTAGCTGCCTCAAGTTGAATCAGCAGGCTCACTCTCTCTCCCCTCCACCCCATCCCGGAGAAGTTATAATGGTTGGTAGCATGAAAGATAGAAAAAGAGGCAGAAAAAAAATCAGTGTGGGAGCTAACTAAGATGTGTTTGAGGGCACATGAACCATGCAGAGAACTCCTACACCAAAAGGGTCATGCTCCACAGAGAGGCACATGTTGCTGGCCCCAGAAGGAGGACGTTTTGAGCAGCGCACAGTAGGCAGAGAGCCTGCCTGAAGGTCTCACTGGGCTGCTGGACAGGAGCCACCGATGATGAGCACCTCCCATCCAGAGCTTGCACCTGTTACCCGGTCCTCTCCCGCACTAACTCCCTGCCACAGGTCACCACCCAAACCCTCTACATCCCTGCCCCAGTCAACTCCCTCCCAGATTCCACACATCCTCCTATACCCCTCCCCCAGGTCAGAATACTCTCCTGCACACAAACTCCCTCCCAGACCCTGCACCCCATGACCCTGTCAAAAAGATACAAGTGCTTTTAGTCCAGATAATAGGAGGTGGATTTATACTGGTGTTGGTGGCCCTTTGAGTTGACCGTATCTACTGTTACCAAACAGATACAGGCGGGAGAAAAGAAACTTAATTTCCTCCTCACTTTCAGCTCTCCTTCACTTGCCTGCATGGGGAGGGAGGGGTGAAGGTGTTTTGTGTTCAGATACTCTCTTCAGCTCCTGCTTTATGGGTGTTTCCCTGGTTGCAGACAGGTGACTCTAGAACTATGAAAGACAACAGGATGCCTGTTGTCTTTCAGCCTGCCAAGGATCCGAGTAGGGCCACTAGTATGAGAAAGGATGCCGTAGTTGGTACCACAGCTGACCTAACCAGAGAGGCTGTAGATCAGGATGATGATATAATGAGGTCCGCAATGAAATTCAGCATTGTATAGCAGATTAGGAAAGTGGCAGGAGACCACATCCTCTAGCTAAATTTCTGACTTGGAAGACAAAAGGGGTGGTGCACAGCAAAAGGTTGATGGAGAGTTAAAGGCGCCAGGTGAATTTAATACCGGAATCCCAGTACTGAACAGAGATAAGTTGGGTGTATCAGATAACAAAAAGTCCATCATGCATCAAAGGCATTAATACCATTGGCGGTAGTCAGTGCAAAGACGCCTGGATCTGGTTGCATCTCTATAAATCGAGACTCTCTGGTCAAGCAACATCATAAGAAACCTTTATCACAGGGATACTTTCCCTCTTACGAGAGTGATGAGAACAGGTTCTTGTCTCATAATGGGAATTAACAAAAACATTGAGCTATATCCTCACTTGTCACTTTTTAAAGACAGAATAAAATTAACCATATTTAACCAAGCACTATTGTTCATATTTAAAAAATAAAATTAAACTGAATTAAAAAACATGAAAACCTATGTAGTTAAGTTACATACACTCATTTAGTGGTGTAAAACATAACTTTTTAATTAACACAATTTTATGTTAGCTATTTGAAAAAGGTAGCTACAACGTATCAGAGGTTATGGGCTGAAATTTAATAGGCAAAACTATGTTTATGCAATCAACTCAACAGTAAATAGTGAAGTAACTCTAGCCATTTGTCTTTAAATAACGTAACTTTGTTTGAAGCCAGGGAAAACAGGACAGTTATGGTTAGAAAACATTAGCAGCATTGGAAACTTGGCATAGTATGATGGTCCAAAGGATATAAATGGCTCTGGATTTAAGAGCAACCAAAGAGACTCGCTTATTTGAGGGAAAATGCATACTCAAAATACTTCAAAAAAAATCTTGTACATTCATGGGTCAAGAAGCAGCAATCTGACTAACAAACAAAGCTAGTGACAAAAATAATTTTAAATGTAGACTTACTACCTTCTTTTCAGAGGGGCTTGAAGTCTTTGACACTAACGCTGATTCAACAAGACCCTGCTCAAGTAAGGAGTCGTATTTTATGCTTCTTTTTCTGTTTCTTCTCTCCTTGTTTGCTGTTTTTTGTTCATTTTCCTCTGACTGGGACACAGCTGCTCCACTGTCTCCACAAATGGAAGATTCAAAGAGAGGCTTTCCGTTCATGTAGGTTTTAGTGATTTTCAGCTTTATCTCCGGAGAGCCATTCTTGATAGGAGTAGTGTTAGGTGGTGTTCCAACTCCTTTTATTTCCTGGGGCTCGAAGCGCAGCTTAGTATCTTGTGCCCCAGACTCGCCATTAAACACACGAGAAGTTAGATCTTTCAATTTATCAGCTGGAATAAACGGAAGACCATCGTGGCCATTATATTTTTGCATGACACCCTCCTGTAGAGTGGCAGAAAGCTGTGCTTTGCCTAAGTAGACAGAACACTCACGATTCACTTCACAATTCTGTGTTTTCGCATTGGCATTTCCAAGGATCTCTGGTACCTGTTTCATTTTGATGTGGTTAATTTTTCGCGTTAACAGAGGAGAACTTCTTTTGACGCTAAAGTCCATTCAGCCAAACCTTTCCAGTCCTACACAACTGTAAAACAAATCAAACAAAAGAAAACAAAATAATTCTTTTAATAGAGAAAGATAAAAGCACATGCTAAAATAATGGTCATTTTTAGTGTCGAATTAAAGCTGCTTCCGCAAGGTTTTAATCTTCAAAATATTTTTAAATATTTAAAAGTGTAGAACTTCTGCCTGCCAGTGAATAAGTACCAAAAATTCTAAAAAGTAGCAACCGACAATAAATCACTTGAATTTCCCTAAACATGCTCTAGCAAAGACCAAAAAGGAAAGGTGATCTTAGTGTATTCATTTTAATCACCTACCGCCCAAATCCTTCTCATGTAATTTACACAAGCAGCTTCATTTACTTAAAAATCTCTTTAAAGTGTGAAGATTTAAATTTAGACATAACACGGTATTAGAAACAAGACCATGTAAAAATTGTGCCAGATTATAAAGTCCCATAGAATCAAGTTTGTTGTGTACTGTATTCATATAACACACACATCATGGGAAGAAACAGGCCAGACTTCACACTACTTTGCAAATGACGGCTAACCTTGCAATCACAGCTCCAACATGGGGGAAAAAGCATTCTTCAGTCCTTACGCTTTAACCTTGGTTTATCTACTAACACTGTTAGTAATTAATTCCATTTATGGGGATGGTTTTATTATGTGGATTTGTCCATTACTAGTTAGGGAGGTTAAATGTCGATTAATCAGCTAATCAAGTAGTCAATGGAATTTTTATTAGGCAGCAGTTTTAAAACAAACAAAAGGAAGTTTTTCTTCACTCAGCGCATAGTCAATCTGTGGAACTTCTTGCCAGAGGATGTGGTGAAGGCTAGGATTTTCATAGGGGTTAAAAAAAAAAAAAAAAAAAAAAAAAAAAGAGCTAGATAGATTCATGGAGATTAGATCCATCAATGGCTATTAGCACGGATCGTAGGAAGGGTGTCCCTAGCCTCTGTTTCTCTGGAGGTGGGTTACAGGGAAAGGATCAAATGAAGATTATCTGTTGTATTCCTTCCCTCTGGAGCATCTGGTATTGGTCTCTGTCAGCAGACAGGATACTGGGCTGGATAGACCGTTGGTCTGACCCAGTATGGCCGTTCTTACATTCTTATGACTGCTCGATTAGTCAATAAAGGGGGGGTGCTTGCTATCCCGCTGCCTCTCTCCCCCTTTGAAATGTACACATGTCAAAGGGAGAAGAGTAGCAGTTGGGACCAGTGTGAGCAGGACTGTTTCAATTTCCACTCACGCAGTTTACTCACTGCTCTCTGTCTCCCCTGCCCCTCACAAAGCCAATGCTGGAGGAACAGGCTTTTAAGTCAACTCCCCCTGCACCAGCTCCTACTCCCTCCACTTGCTGGCTCTCTGATAGAGACAGCGAGGGGGGCGGGGAAAGGGGACCAGCTGAGTTCCTACCTGACTACCCGATAAGCATTTCCTAATTAGGTAGTCGACTAATCACCTACATCCCTACTTCTAGTGGATGGATGCCAATAACATCACGCCTTTGAGCCAATGGCCAAACTACAAAACGTAAACTAGCAACCTACAGCTAAAATGAGATTTTTTTAAGCTTTTACATCATTTTGTAACATTCATTCCCTTAAAAGATTTGAAAAAGTTTATACATAATGCAGTTTCAGCTGCAGAAAGACATGTTTTTAAAATAAATTTTAAAAATGGAAAACCCAACACATTTTAGCATTAAAAAAAAATCAACTACATTTTCAAACAAAAAGTATCACGCAAAGCAGTCCATCTACGGTGGCTTTACTTTTCTCTCTCTTTCTACAGAGCATCTGAAATTCGATACTTTTTATTGTAGCATAAATCTCTATATCAGTGGTCCCCCAACTTTTCAATGCCACAATCCAGCTCAGGGAGGTGCAAAGGGGGAAACACGGCCAGAGAACCCCACTGTATCATACCCCAAATGTTCCTGTGTCCTCCTACCGGGATGTGCCCCACACTTTGGGGACCTCATTCTAAATGCATACACCAGGGGTTGGCAACCTTTCAGAAGTGGTGTGCCAAGATTTAACTTACTCACTTCTATTTACAGATATGCGTGCCGGGAGGAGGGGGCAGGAGCAGGCTGGGTACGATGACCATATTTTCTGAACCAGATGCAGCTAGGGAGAACGGTTTAATTTAAATTATTAAATAGATTAAGCATTTTAACTCTCTCATGTTAGTTTATCAAACTTCATTTTAAATAACATAAAATATTAATTTATGCCCAACACAAAAGGTTGTGTTAAACATCCTGACCCCGCATCGGCCTTCTACCCCCTTCCTATCTGCACATCCCTGTGACCCCAGAGTACACAGAGATTCACAGCTCCCCCTCCCCCCCGCCACCCTACAAGAGCAGCTCTGGGGCAAGGAGAAGGCCCAGGGGGGAGGAGGGGGAGGCAGAGGGTGGCCGCAACAGAATCACTTCCCTGCCTGGCCCAGCCCTTTGAGCGGGCTCGCCCTTAACCTGCTCCCTTGTCCCCAGCACACACCCCACGGGGAGGAGTCCAGGCCCTGCTGCCACACAGAGGCAGCAGCAGCTTATGACCAGCTGTCCAGCCCAGAGTCTGCAGAGCAGCTCCATCCCTACCCCCTCCAAGAGCAGGGAGCAGAGCCTGAAAGGGGGGGGGGGGGGGGGGGGGGGGAAATTGTTCTCTTTGGCCTCTGAGAATAGGACAAGAAGCAATGGGCTTAAATTGCAGCAAGGGAGGTTTAGGTTGGAGGAGCCCAGTGCAGGGTCACGCTGTTGATTCTGCTTGCTGGGCCAGCCCTGCCCCTACATGCCTCCCACCCTTGTCCTTCCAGCAGTAAGCAGGAGCTTGTTCTCCAGCCAGCAGCTGTGCGCCAACTAGGGACGTGAAGGACCAGTCGACTATCGGATAAGCAAATGCTTATAGAATAGTTGACATGCTAGTCGACTAGTCACTTCTCCGCCCTTGCTGCATCTATTAGAAAGAGGCAACAAGAGGGGAAGGGGGATGAGGAGGGGATACTTCAAAGCAGCAGCGCTGCTTGAAGCCTGGGGCCAGACCTCGGGCTCCGTGCGGCGCTGTCGCTTTGAATCACCAGGGGGAGCCCAGCATAAGGCTGCATGTGGTGTTTCAAAGCAGGCACACTGCGTGGAGCCCAGGATCAGCTGGAGTCCCCGGCTAATCCCAGGCTCCACGCAGCACTTTCATCTTTGACGTGTAGCAACAGCCCTAGGGCTGTTGCTACACGTCAAAGGCAGAATCGCCCTATCAACTAACCAAATAGTTGATTCAAAATGCATTTACTATTTGATTAGTCAATTAGTCGATATTTAACATCCTTAGCGGTGACAAGGCTCCAGCTGCACATGCCACTCAAAATCAGCTCGTATGTCACTTATGGTACGTATGCCATAGATTGCCGATACCTGACATACTCCATAGTTTAAAATCAGGCTCAAGATATGTATTCTAATGAGCAGGGCTCGACAAATCATGTAATCTACTTGCCTATGGTGAGTAGATTAAAAGACGGCACAGCCGGCGCCACGCGATCTGCGCATGCGCAACTTGCAGAACCGTGTGGCTGGCGAGCAAGGCTCGCCGCCGCTTGGCAAGCCCTGCTAATGAGAGATTCCTATATAATACTGGAAAAAACCCAACACACCTGTGAATTCAGGATAAAAGGAATTAGCACCTCTGTGAGCAAGGCAACCAAGTTCTGCTTTGATATAAATCAAATCTGAACTGCTATAGCAGTTCAGAGCAGAGACAAATTCATTTAACCCCATAATCAGATACTTTCAAAAAAGATGCAAGAAAAACCATAACGTGCAACCACTGTATAGCTGTCTACCATTATGTACTGTTGTGCAAACCCCTATCAATTAATGACTGACTTCTGGATGACAACTGATACCTCCTTTGTGACACTATGCCATAGTACTAGTTTTTGGGGAGATTTCTTCCCTAAATACGTTGAATTAAGGTACATTGAAGTCACCATTACTTAGCAGTTTGTCCTGTTACTTCTTGAACTGCAGTATGTTTTTTAGGATTATACTGGGAACAGTCTTTCATCTTGTGTGCTCCCAAGGTAGCTATTACCTGAAACTAAAGATGTTTAAAATGCATTTATGTAGGTAATTGTGTAACCACTAAAAATGTCAGCACTTACACGTTTACACATGGCGGGACTGATCTAAAGGCAGCAGCACAGGAGTAAGGTGGGGGGACCTGCATATAACAATGAAGGTTAACAGATAAGAAACAACAGTTTCTTGAAATAATAGGTTTGTATTTTACAAACCCATTGCATTTGTTCCCATAAGAAATTAATATTTTTCTTTCAACAAAATATGGACTCTCATTCTCACATATTTTTCTAAACTAAAAAGTCATTTGACAAAAAGAAATTTAACCTGAAACACCAGGCAGCTAGAGTGAAAAATGTTTCAATAATCAAATTAAAACTACACTGTCTATGCACATCAGCAGAAAGGAAAACTGTAGATCTCTGAACATCACACAACACAAAATTAAATATTGCAAGGACTGGAAGAAAAGGTTGAAAAAAAAAAAAAAAAACCAGTTTGAAAATTCCTAGTCAGAAAATCCCAATACTTTGAAACCAAAGTTTTTTGCAGGAAAGCTGTGGTTTCAACAACAATCAGGACAGTGTTTCAGATCCTTGATAGAATTTCTGCTCAAAACCAGACATCAGGAATCCACCTATAATATAGGAGATAATACAAGGACTTGAATCTGGACCCATCACATCTCACCAGTGCCCTAACCAGAGCAAATCAGAGTTAGTCTCTCTCTCTCTCTCCCCTCTCTCAACATTTATACATACAAAAAGTTTATATTGGATCAAGGAGTAAATTCAGTGAATGGCAGTCATTGTACCTAGTTTAGAGGCAAATGAGAAGCACAAACAGGGTTCAATGACAGGTTGTTGGGTTTAGGATATGAGAAATTTGAGAACATTTCTGTGCAGTTGAAAGGAGACAAAGACCATGACATAA